AGCAGAGCCGAGTAAGCCAAGTCTTATTTTTGGGACCCAGCCTCGTGCTGCTGTTATCAGGATGTTTCCCTGCAGAGGGTCAGCCCAAATCCCTGCCACCCCTGCTCGGAGCAAGGCCAACCAGCTGTCATTTGTGCATCCAATCAAATTGAACTCAGATATAAAAGTATTAAAACAGACCTACAAGACTGAATATAGAAAGCTAGAGATACAGATGCAACAAAAAAGCTCCCATAAAGTAAAAAAACAAAACAAAACAAAATGTGGTTATGTTGTTGTTAAGTGCTATTGAGTTAGTTGCAACCTATAGTGACCCTATATAGAGTTTCCGAGGAATAGGTAGTGAATCTGAACTGCCGACATTGCAGTTCAAACTGATCTTGAACTCCAGCATATTAACCCACAGCACCAAATGGAGAGGAAATCAAGTGAGTTTGAAGGAAAAAAAAAAAAATCCTGACTGTACCCCTAAAAATAAGACCAAACTGTACTTCTAGCCCAACAAACCTTACCTCTAACACTAACCATGGTCCTAAGCCTAGCCTCTTGTTGTTAAGTGCCTTCAAGTTCGTAACTCATAGTGACCCTCTATAGAGTTTCTGAGGGGAGTGGCTGATAGGTTTGAACTGCTAACCTTGCAGTTAGCAGTGTAGTGCTTATCCTTCAGCACTACAGGATTCCAAGGCTAGCCTAGACCTAGACCTAGCCATCATCATAACTGTAACTCTCACTCCTTACTCCTATCCACCCTCCCAAAACAAAGCAAAACACAAAAACAAACTAAAAAAGAACAATATGGCAGGTGGAGACACACACACACAAAGTTTTAAAATACACCTTTGTAGTCAATCTCTTCCTCTGTCCTTAACTTCTGGTAAACGCTGATCGGATTTCAGACTGTGTAGTTTTGCCTTTTCCAGAATATCATATAAACTGAAATCATAGTCTTTTGTGCCTGGCTTCTTATTACTTAGTATAATATGTATTCATCCAAATTGCTGTGTTTATTATTAGTTCATTCCTTTTCATTGTATGGATACCCTAGAATTAAGGAGCACTGGTAGCATAGTGGGTTATGCGTTGGGCTACTAATCTCAAGGTCAGCATCTGAATCCACCAGATGCTCTGTGGGAGAAAGATGAGGCTTTCTGCTCCTATAAAAGATTTACAGCCTCAGAAACCCCATGCAGGGTTGCTATGGGTTAGAACTGACTTGACTGCACACCATCACCACCACCCCCACCCCCACCCCCAACCACCCTAGAAATAGTTTAGTCACTGACATTTGGATTGTTTTCTACTTTGGGGTTTTTAGAAATAAAGTGATTACAAACATTCATGTCCATGTCTATATGTACATATTCCTGTAGTACATCCTATACGTTTAAGTTTGTTTGGTAAGTGTAGTATAATTTTATAAGAAGTTGAACAGCTGTTTTCCAGAATGATATAATTTTGCATTCTCACCAACAATGTATTAGAATTTCAATGACTCCACCTTCTCTCTCGATCTCAGTATTATTGGTTTTAATAGCTTTGGTCATACTAATAGGTGTGTAATGCTATTTCTCTGGCCTTGAATACTCATTTCCCTGCGTGGTGTACTTGCTTAGTTGGTAACTGAAAGGTTGGGGGTTCAAGTCTACCCAGAGGTACTTCAGAATAAAGGTCTGGTGACCTATTTTAGAAAAATCAGCCTTTGAAAATCATATGGATTACACCTCTACTCTGACATAAAGTGTTGCCATGATGTGGCACTGTGCTTTAATGCACTGGACTGCAAGGTCGATTTGAACTGCCAGGTTGGCAGTTCAAGCTCACCAGCTGTTCCTCGGAAACCCTGTACAGGGTCGCTGTGACTCGGAATTGACTAGACAGCACTGAACAACAGCTCAACAGCAACTGGTTGTTTTATAAGGACTAATCATGTTGAGCATTTTAATGTGCTTTATTTGCCATCTTTATTTCTTCCATGGAGTGTATGAAAACTTTTGCCTGTTCATCTCCTGAAATTGGATGGTTTGCTTTGAAACTATTAGTGAGTTCTAAGGAGTCCTGGTGTGTGGTGCTGTGCGTTAATGTGCCAGACTGCAAAGTCATTTGAACGGCATGGTCGGTGGTTCAAGCTCACCAGCTGTTCTTTGGAAACCCTATACAGGGTCACTATGGGTCGGAGCCAACTCGAGGGCACTTAACAACAACAACAATAGAGAGTTCTTTATATGTTTATTAGATACAAGTATGTTATCAGATCTAAACGGATAGTATCCAACTTACTATGTACTTGAGTCACAAAGAAACACCCTTAAGACAATCAGTGTATCTGGAATATTTCATCTTCCTGGGAGGAACTTAAGAGAAAATGTGTGCAGGAGATATGGGGAAATGTCTGAGTTACGTGAACACATTCCAAGCATTTCATCAGGAAAATATGGTAAAAGAGATCAGTGGAAAAATAGCCCATACAGGAAGAGTGTTGAATTTAGGACTTGACATCACTGATGTGGAACAGCTCATAGATCATGAAGAAGGGAAATTAACAGGTCAGGACTTTAATGGATTTTGAAGAGGTGTATTCCTGAGAGAACGAATCATGTTGAGCATTTTAATGTGCTTTATTTGTCATCCTTATCTACTTATTGCATGTTTAAACATACTTTGTTTGGAATAAACAATGTGTATGAACTGGAGTCCAAGTAACAATACTTTCTGACTTACCCTTGTGGTGGTGGTTGTGTGCAGTGGGGTTGGTTCTGACTCATAATGACCCTGTAAAGGATTTCCAAGGTTGCAAATCTTTAGGGAAGCAGAAAACCTCATCTTTCTCCCACAGAGCGACTGGTAAATTTGAACTGCTGACCTTGAGGTTAGCATCCCTGTTCATAATTCTCTATGCTACCAGGGCTCCTATCCTTGTATATATAATTGCATAATTAACAAAATAGAATTTTTATATACAAATGTGCATATAAAACCTTGGAAACTGACTTATGATAGTAACCTTTTAAAAAAAAATTATGGTAAATATATGTAACAACATACACTGAACATGTATAATTTAGTGACATTAATTATGTTCTTCATGTGGTTCAATTACCATGCTTACTCATTCATTCTCAAGTATAACATCATCCTAATGTCCTCTCGGCAAAGAAGCCCCCTCTTAAATTTTCTCAACCTTTTTTTTGGAAGTCTTTATTTTGCCTTCCTTTTTGAAAGATATTTTGTTTGGGTATAGAATCTGGATTGTCTGTCACCTCAGGGACTCATTTGCTGGCACATTATTTTGGCAGTGTTCTGCCGCTTTTCGCAAGATTTTCAGTGGGTAATCATTCAGAGGAATCCTAGTGTGGGGCTGTGGGTTAATGCACCAGACTGAGAAGCCATTTGAACTGCAAGGTCTGTTGTTCAAGCTCACCAGTCGCTCCTCGGAAACCCTATACAGGGTCACTATGGGTTGGAATTGACTCGACGGCACTCAACAACAACAGCAATCATTCAGAAGTGGTCTGCCTCTTCTTCATTATCTATCTTAGTCTGGGATCTCTGCTGAAACCTGTCCACCATGAGTGACCATGCTAGTATTTAAAGTACTGGTGACATAGCTTTTAGTATCACACAAGCCAGCACAGTATGACAAACTGAGAGATGAATGGTGGAGTAGAATATTATTTAACCATAAAAAGGAATAAAGTTTTAATCTCTGCTATAATGGAGTGTGTTGGCTCCATAGGATAAGCACTGGAATGCAAACCACAAGGTCTATGTTTCGAGCCTGTGCTGCTCCTTATTTACTTAGTTGCCATCCTTATCTACTTATCCGTGGGAGACAGGTGAGGCTTTCTGCTCCTGTGAAGATTTGAAAGCCTCACTGGAACTGAGTCAATGGCAGTTATCAACAACATATATTATAATATGGATAGACCTTGGAAAAAATTGACTGAAATTAGCCAGATAAAAAGAGACAAATGTTATATGATTCTATTACATAAAAAAAATATGTGGACGTGCGAGACTCATAGAGACATAAAGAAGATTAGATGTCACCAGGGACCGGAGAATATAAAAAATGGGCAGTTACTGTTTAAGGGGTTCTGAGTTTTGGTTTGAGGTGATGAAGAGTTTAGGAAATAGATGGTAATGGTGGTTGTTCAACATGGTGAATATAATAATGCCACTGAATTATATACACTTTGAAATGATTCAAATGACAAATTTTATGTTTTCTAAAGCTCTTTGAGTTGCAAGGTTGGTGGTTCAAGCTCACCAGCTGCTCCTTGGAAACCCTATACAGGGTCAGTAACACTTAACAACAACAACAACAATATTTTATTACAATGAAAATTTAAAATTTAATTTGTTTCAAAATATATTTATATCAAACATAAATCAAATCTGGCAAATGTCAGTATGTTACATGTTTTACTTAAGGTTGAAACTTTGTTTTTACTATTTTATACATGTCATTAGTTATCTTTAAGAGAGTGTTTTTTCCAGTATAGCTGTATGAGGGGTATTAAAAAAATTAATGGACATACTCCTGTCTTTCAGTTCTACTTTTCCACAAACTTTTTGAAGCCATTTCATAGGCGTCATTTTGTTGTTAATCAAACCTCAAGAATGTTTAAGATATACTTCTAGTTGCTTTAGCACTTACTGTGGTAATTACTGCTTGTTTGAATAAGAATTCTTTACATTTTAACATCTAGATTGATCCTATGCCCAACGTAGTATATATATTGAATATGGGCTTTCTTACTGTATTAACTTATAAGTTTACATGAGCAGATAAACCCAGAAGGGAGCTGTGGGAACTGCGAGAGAAGTGATAGATGACACTGTTGATGTGAGTCCCTCTAATGTGCAGGCTTAGAAACAGGGAGAATAAGCGTGATGTCTGTGTGAGAGCCCTGTGTTCCTGCTTAATTTGTTAGTCAGTTCTCTTTCTTTTTGAATAAGCCTGTTTCTCTGGATTAAAAAAACTTAATTTAATCTTTCAGACAGGGGAAAACAAAGGATGGAGTAGTCCAAAGGCTGGGTTTCCTGAACCAACAAGTAACAGTAAGTGTCCTCTTTGTACTGCCTATGTTTGGTGTTCACCAGTGATTCAGTGACTAGAAATGCATTTGGCTGAGATGCTTTGCTAAAGATTCTGGAATCTAATAGGAAATCATGATGTCTGCTTTCCTGAACTTAACAGAATAACTGGAAAATGAAGATACTTGTCATAATCATAACACAGTCAAACCTTTGTAAATATACAGTTTAATCTACATAGTGGTGCCATTCTTTAAAAAAGTTGTTTTTATTGCAGCAACAGTGGAATATAAAAGAATTTTAAAGATTTACCTATTAGTCTATTGCTTTCTCAAATCAACCATTATTAAGGTTCTTAGTGTTTTGGGGTGTGGCGCTGTAGGATCAGCACTGGACTGTGAACCACCAGGCAGGCAGTTCAAACCTACCAACTGCTGCTCCTTGGAAACCCTATCCAGGATCACTATGAGTCGGAACTTACTTGACGGCACCTAACAACAACAAAGTGTTTTTAGGTGCTTTCAGATGTTTGTTGTTGTTGTTGTTAAGTGCCGTCGAGTCGGTTCCGACCCATAGCGACCCTGTACAGGGTTTCCAAGGTTGTAAATCCTTACGGGAGTAGAAAGCCTCATCTTTCTCCCGCGGAGCGGCTGGTAGTTTCTAACTACTGACCTTAAGGTTCTCAGCCCGATTCGTAACCACTACGCTACTCCTTCCCCTACATTGGGCAAAGTCATTATAATTTTAACATTTCACTAGTTGAAATATCAGAAATCTAAGAATAAAATTGCAGTTTTATTTCAGTATAGGTAGCTCCTCACTTAAGATGGGTATCAATTCTGAGGATTCCATTTTAACTCAGTTCTGACATAAGTTGAATACCTCATTGTTTTGTTTTATTTTAACATTTTTATTACTGCTTTTTTTATCAGTATAATTTCCATCATTATTTGTATTTTTTAGGTTGTAAACATTACAGATAAACATACAAATATATATATTTTTAATTTTGTTGTTTTTGTTGTCAAGTGCCATCGAGTCAATTCTGACCCATAGCGACCCTGTATAGGGTTTCCAAGGATATTACTAATCACAGGATGTTTAAAAAAACAAAAAACAAAGAGCAAAACCGTTATTAAGTGCAGTTCTTTGTAATTCTAATATGTCCTAAATTGGGACTACCTGTGTTATTGTTGTTGTTAAATGACATGGAGTTGGTTCTGAATTATAGTGACCCTGTATAGGGTTTCCAAGGAGCAGCTGGCAAGTTTGAACTGCCAACTTTGTGATTCAAACCAACCTTGAAGTTCACAGTTTATCCTAAAGTGCTATACTAGTTTAAAATCCACTCAAGTTTATTTCTGCTTTCAAATATATGTGAGCAAGGTGTTTTACAATGGAATATAGACATTTTTGTTTATTCCCCTGCCTCACAGGAAAGCATCTCTTTTCACTGAAATTGATCGTTTTGCTGTAAATCAGGGAAACAACATATTCAGTCAGTTAAGAACCCAACTGATCTCATTTCTGACTCTCTCTTCCTTTGGAGGATAAACAGATTTAAATGTATAAATACTCGTAATGAGGAATCTTTGGTTTTTGATACTAGCAGTTTATCTCTTGACAATGGCATTAGTAGTAATGTTAATAATGATGTCACTAACAAACGCTTATAATAAAAAGTGCTCATCAGAATTGAGTTCTTGGTTTCAAATCAGCCACTTGAAAACAATATTTCTGGGGTAACGGTATTCTTGAGTTAGTTTCTAGGAATTTAAATTCATCTGACTCTGAGTCATAGGGCACAAACACACACACACACACACAAAAAAATATATATATATAAAGAGAAATGAACTTAGAATACAAAGCCCAAGGTATATAATGGAGTCTTTTCAGTGTTCTTAGAGTGTTTAAATTACCTTTGAAATTTGAATGCATAGGTTTATAATGATTTGATAGCTATTTAAGAAATATTAACTTGAATGCAGTTCTTGGAAAAGTAAATGAGCATATTACCAGTTTCCTAGTAAGCATGTATTGGATGTCAATTACCTTCCTTCGTTTCTTGTTTAAAAGGGATATACTTCTTTTGAAATTTGCCAAAAATTCCATTCATGTACTTTTTCTGTCCAATGTTTTTTGTTTGTACATGGTGACCAAAGAATATATTACAGATTGTTTGAAGCATCACATTTTGGTTTGTTGTTGTTGTTAAGTGCCGTCGAGTTGGTTCCGACCCATAGCGACCCTGTACAGGGTTTCCAAGGGTGTAAATCACATTTTGGTAGCAGACATTTATATTTAAAAATATATGAGCATAATATATTTAAATCATTCAGAATTTGACAGTTTTAACACAAAATCAAATTATGGGTAGCCTGCAAACTCCATCATTGAACAGTGATGTTTCACTGTTGGCTGACTATAAAGTTTTTTAAACTTTCTGGTGGTGCAGTGGATTAAGCATTGGACAGCTAACTGCAAAGTTGGCGCTTCACATTCACCAGCCACTCTGCATGAGAAAGAGGAAGCTTTCTGCTCCCATAATGATTTGTAGTCTCGAAACCCTTAGGAGCAGTTCTACAGTGCCCTGTAGAGTCACTAAGGAGCCTGGGGATTGTGTATTGGGCTGCTGACCACAAGGTCAAAAGTTGGAATCCACCACCTGCTCCTTGGGAGAAAGTGGAGGCTTCACAGTCTTAGGAACCCTACACAGGGTCACTGTAGATGAAGATAAGCTCTACGGCAGTGGGTTTGATAGGCTCAGTATAGCCTGATGGCAGTGGGTTTGATAGGCTCAGTATAGCCTGATGGCAGTGGGTTTGATAGGCACAGTATAGCCTGATGGCAGTGGGTTTGATAGGCTCAGTATAGCCTGATGGCAGTGGGTTTGGGTTGAAGGGATTTCAGAATTCCTTTACAAGTATGGGAAAGGATAATCATAAAAAGGTCAGTGAGTGCAAGTGATCAGAAATATGTAAGAATGCATAAAAATATTTGCTTTAGAGATGTTGTTGTTAAGTGCCATCAAGTCCAATTCATAGTGACCCTGTATAGGGTTTCCAAGGGGCTGCTGGTGAGTTTGAACTGCCAACCTTGTGGTTCACAGTATAGTACTGATCCTACAGCGTCACACATGATAAAATTATTTGAAGCTATTTAAAACATAAACAACTAAAGCTTTAGTTATTTCTCTTATTCTCAAAGGGTTCAAATTAAGAATTTGAAGGAAGGATGTTCCCTAACCCCTTCTTAACTTGGAGGAAGTAAAAAGCTGGTACAAGGTTCTTCCATATGAATTCTGTGAGTGATCACTACCTGGGTTATCACAGAGATATGGGGACACCCCAACTTCAAAAGTCAACTGGTTTGCTCCCCAAAGACAAGTTATCTTTGTGAAGTTTCAGAGTCAGTCCCCCAGACTGGCTTAAATATATTAGCTATATTAGCTACTTAAATATAATAGAAAAAGATCTGAAGATTAAGTGTATATAATATGGTAACAGTTGGTTAAATTCTCTTCTACTTGACCAGTCTCTTACATTTGAAATTCTGCTCTAAGCAGTTTCCGTCCTGTGAAGGAGATACCCGTGTTAACATTTTGCAGGCAAAGGTTAGAGCAGCGATCTCTCAGGATGACACATGTGGGGGAAGACAGGAATTTGAGTTTGCCAATGCAGTCTCCAATTGGCTGTCTTTCTGATATACTGTCTGCCCTTGAACAACTCCTTTTACATCTTATTAAATATGCTGTTAAGAGTTATGCATACCAATATATAATGTTAAGAACGTTTTATTGCATAACATTTAAAAATGATTAAACATCCTTGAATAGCATCTGGAAAGCTAACATATTACTTTGTAAAAAAGAGTGCCATTATAAAGTGACTCTGCATTATAACAGACTACTTTGTTAGACTATGTTTACTTCACAAACTGTAGTTTTTAAAAAAAAAATCAAAATTTTAAGGCAGCTATTGTTTGGATGAGTACTATGAAATTAATTAAATTGGAATTCTTGTTGTTAAGTACCATCTAGTTGGTTCCAACTCATATTGACCCTATATAGGGTCTCCAAGGAGCAGCTGGTAGATTGAAACCAACCTTTTGGTGAAGTGCATTATCCTGCAGAAACACACAGAGAACATAATATTGGAATTGGGAAAAAGGAATTTTAAAGTGTCATAGCTAGCACTTGGCCAGAAGTAGACAAAATAGTTAATACGCACATGCATTTAATTTTTGAAGTGAAAGATACTCTTTTTAACAATTACAGCCATAAGAAACTGCTAACAATTACAACAAAAAAATAGTTTAAGTTGTTTTGCAAGTGAGTGTGATTACATAGCCTGGCTCTTCAATTTATTTTCCTGACTTGATTGCCTGCAGATTTAAAATATGGACCTAATTTTTGCATGTTTTTTAGGCTTTCTTCATTGTACTGAAATACAGCAGAAGGTATATTTTCTAAGTGTGTTTCTATGCTTTGAATCATTGTCACAGTCATGTTGAAGTACAAGAACACATAATGGTGTAATGTGAGATTTATGTTAAATTTAGCATGGGGCAATTTTATGCTTGGCATACACTTAAAAAGCTAGATTTTTACAGATGAATGACTAGCAAGTTTTTAAAAAGATCATGCATTTTAGAGATCTACTGATGGCTCATGGAAAAACTTTATAAAATATTAAGATGCAATTTAGCTGATAATATCTTTTGCTTTTTATGTCCACATTCCATGTTTCTTATTAATACAGGGTTTTACTTAAAACAGGTTCATTGTTTCTTAAAGGTGAACTCTAGCTTAGTTTAAAATTGGACTGAGCTCAAAGGTAATCATTGGTATGTGCCGAATCCACCCACTAAAAGATTATTTGGAGGCATTTTTCACATAAATATTTTCCTGTTAACCTTTTAAAAAGTTTTATTTAGCCCCTGTGGAATATGCTAGTTCTTCTAGGTTCATTAGAGATTATCTAAGACAAATGCTTTGGGGATAGGATAGAGTTCTTATTGAC